CAACAGCTCCAACCTCCTTGTTCACCAGCGTGTCCACACTGGGGAACAGCCCTACGAGTGTGAGGAATGTGGGAAGACCTTCAAGTTTGGCTCCAACCTCCTCATCCACCGCCGGGTGCACACGGGGGAATGGCCCTACAAGTGTTTGGAATGTGGGAAGGGCTTCACCGTCAGCTACCGCCTGATCCGCCACCAGCAGATCCACACTGGGGAACAGTGGCCCCGGCCCTACAAATGTGGGGAATGCAAGAAAAGCTTCAGATACAATTCTGAACTCGTCACCCATCAACGCATGCACACGGGGGAGAAGCCCTACGAGTGTGGGGAATGTGGGAAGAGGTCTCACAGCAGCTCGGATCTCCTCAAGCACCAGCAGACGCACACGGGTGAGAAGCCCTTCCACTGCACCGACTGCGGGAAGGGCTTCAAATGCAACTCCACCCTCGTGAAGCACCGGCGCATCCACACCGGGGAGAGGCCCTACAAGTGTGGGGAGTGTGGGAAGAGCTTCACCTGGAGCTCTACCTTGACCACACACCAGCGGACCCACCAGTAAGGGAAGCTCTGCGAGTGCCCCGACTGCGGGAAGAGCTTCATCTGCTGCTCCAACTCCATCAGCTGTCAGAGGATCCACTTTGGGAACAGGCTTGGTGACCCACATTCCCAGTGACCCACACTGGGAACAGGCCTGGTGACCCACATTCCCAGTGACCCACGTTGGGAAGCCCCCTGGCTGGTGGACTGTGGCAGGATAGTCCCATGTGTTATTTGTGTGGGCACGGACCCAGTTACACACAAGGTGTGCAGCTGAATCAAATTTATTAAGAACAACATGAGCTGATATAGACAGTCCAAACTGTGACACGTCATAACGTGACCTCTCAGCCAATGACATTCGAGCGCTCCCTTGCACATGTGCAACAGAGTACCGAAGGAACTACAAGTCCCAGAATGCCTTGTGACACTTCCTGTAATATAAATCACTACATTTCCACTTTATTATAATGAGTTACAGAACAATTTTTAAACCTTTTTTGTAAATATTTCTTAACATAAACTACTTATCTTAACCATTTATAAAAACCAGGGCGTAATGCGGTAAGGCCTTTATTAAAACTGGTCATAACCTTATTAACTGTGTAACTTTCAATTATTCAGGGTTTGTAAATATGGTTTGTGTAAGACTTTTTATCTGAGGGTATTTGTGTAACTGGGTGAGAAGCATCAATTTTATGTCAAGGGGAAGTGTGTCAGGTTATGGATGTTGTGTTCAATTGTATTTGCTGGGGTTGAGGTAGTGTTGTTGTATGAGTGTATTTTATTTAAGGCATCTCTGGCATAAAGTGGTTTTGAATTCACTCGCATACGTACGTCCACACAACTTTTCTCATTCATACATAGGTGGCCACCTTCTCAGTCTCTCCCCACACATGCACACTTAAGCCTTTTATTAGGTCTCTGTATTTCACTCACGTAGTTTGGGTCTTGTAGTGGTCATTATATATGTGTTTCTTCGATTCCAGTTTCTTCATTTGTCACTTCTGTTGGTTGCTCTTGCTCTGCAGAAGGGCTGATATAAGGCCTGACACATCGGGAAGGGATCCATTGTAGTTTAGTACCTGTGGATACACAGGCATATCCCCTCCCCCACTTTACGAGATCCACTGGTCCTGACCATTGCCCTGATATTAAATATTTATCATGACTGGTGGTTTGAGAGATGAAAGTACCTGAGATTCGTGTTGACGTTCGTACCTGCTGTGATCTGTGTCATCACAGTTTAAGAAATTTAGGACATATGATGCTTTCCACAGGTGTTCCTGGGACTATAGATAGATTCCCCCCTTTTCTGTTTTTGCAGCATTCCCTTCACTGTGCAGTGTGCTCTCTCCACCATAGCTTGTCCTGTGGGTGAGTGTGGTCTGCCTGTGGAATGAAATATCCCCCAACCCGTGAGAAATGTTTTAACCTTTGAAGAACAATAGGCAGGAGCATTGTCTGTCTTTATGGTTTTTGGAATTCCCAAAGTTGCAAAGCAACTAAGCCAGTGTCTGATAACATCCCTTGCCTTTTCCCCAGGGTGTGCAGTGGCATTTATGTATTTAGGATGTGTGTCTGCTGTGACATGGACATACTTTAGCCGACCGAATTCAGCTCTATGAGTAACGTCCGTTTGCCAAATTCCATTGGCTGTTGTGCCTCGGGGATCAACCCCTTCCTTAGATGGCACTGGGGCAATTTGCTCCAGTCAGGACATGACATGATGATATCTCGAGCTTGATTCCCTGTGAGTTGGAACTGGCTCTTTAACGAGCGTGCATTTTGCTGAAAGGATAGGTGGGAGAGTTTGACCTGCTCGAGAGTTTGGGGAACTGCAGCAATCACAGCGGCAGCATCTGCTCTTTGATTGCCCTCCGCTCTGGGTCCTGGTAGTTCTGTGTGGGAACGGGCATGCATTATGTAAAAGTCCAATTTTCTGTGGTTGCCAAGGGACCATATAGTCTGTATCTCTGTGTCCAGACACGTCAGTAAAAACAGTGATGCCTGAGACAGGATGTGGCCGGCAGCGACGCGTGGCCATTAGAGGTGGATTCCCCATTTGTACCCAGAGTCTGTGCGACAGCAGAGCTGGGGGACCCCCGGCAGCCTGGGGGGGCGGGAGGGGAAGCGCGGAGAGGGGGAGCCCAGAGGGGTGGGGCTCTGAGAGGGGGGACCCCTGGGATTCCCGGCATCTGCAGCAGCCCGGAAAAGGCAGAACCCCGGAGAGGGGGCCCCCAAAACACAAGGGACCTCCAAGAGCCTGAACGGGGGGGACCCCCAGAACCCCAAAGTGCAGAGAGCAGAGGGAGTGAACTTCGGGGAGGGTTTTTTAGAGCCTTTTCCACGGGCCTGCCTCCCCTGGCTGTGGTCTCCCTGTTTCTCAGCACTGTCAGGTTTGCCCACCTGAAGCCCCCCTCCATCTCCTCCCCGCTGCTGGAACTGCTGAGGTCAGTTCTGGACTCGGTGGTGCCTCCAGCACTGAACCCCCCCATGATCAACCAGGACCTCAAGGGTGCCTGGAGGAAAATGACTGCATGCTTTTCAGAAGCAATGAAGTGCCTTTTTTCTTCTTCACAGCATCCAGGATGTCAGACTGGTTTGTGCCACGTGTCCATTTTGTTGTTGCTGTATTGGTGTATTTTATATTTGCATTCCTTTTTTCCTTCACTTGTGTTACTTTTTCCATAAAGGAATGTCATTAGTCATTCTATTGCTACACCAGTACCTACCATTGCTGTGTACAGACACACTGAGGTGCCACGATCACTGTATATTTTAAGAAAATCAAGTGCCCTGCAGTGACCTGTGTGTCCAAGATGCTTCCTCAGCCCTTCTCTGGAGCTGCAGGGGCAGTGCCTTTGTGCAGAGGAGGAGGGAAGAGATTCCCAGCCCAGCAGCAGGGCCAGGGCCAAGGGCTCTTGCTCTTTCCACGTGTGGTCTTTCCAGCTCCACACTCCCCTTGCCAGCCCTGCTGTGGGTGCAAGGCCTGAGTGCTCCGGCAGCTTGGTCACAGTCCTGCTGCGTGTCCGTGCTGGGATCACAGGCAGGGACAGGCCCTGGCACTGCTGGCCCAGAGCTGGGCTCCACACCAGCAGCTCCATCAGCCAAGGGCATCTCCTGAGGGCAGGGCACAAAGGCTTTGCTCTTCCTCCACAGTCACTGTCAGGAATGTGCTCAGGGAATGCCCTGGCAAAGCAAATGCCAGTGCCCAGTTGGGAGTGGGAGTGTGCAGGGTGGGGGCACGCAGCAGTGTCCCTGCCCAGCCAGAGCTCCTGGCACAGACCTGAGGCACCAGCAGAGTGCTGGGCTGTGTCTTTGCTCCAGGGACAGCCTGGGAAGGTGTCACAGGGCAGCCCCTGCAACCCCCATTCCCAGCACCGGCCTCTCCCCCCACCTGCAAGAGGCTGTTTTTCTTTGCACAGGGAGACATCAATGGACCAGGTCAGAAGTCCATGTTTGCATGGCAGTGAGAAACTCCAGCACGAGCATCACATGTGTGTGTAGGGATGAACCCGAGTGAGCACAAACACCACCAGCTGTGCCTGGGGTGCCATAAATCCAGAGGATGGGCAGTGTCAGGAGGCCACTTCACTGTGAGAGTAACATTCCCTGGGAAATCCCCCAGATGCAGCCCCGGGATGTGCTTCTGTGCACATCCCCGTGTCCATCCCTCAGGCCGTGGGGCATCTCAGACAGGGCAGAGCAGGTGACACCCCAGAGGGCTGAGGTGGCTCCAGCCCCTGGGAGCGACAGCAGGAGCCAGGGAGCCCCTGCCCCTGCTGCCATGAACTCTGTGTGTGTGCAAGGGAAGGACTCGTGTCTCTGCACAGCCCTGGGGTGTGAGCAGGGTGTGGACACCTGACAGAGCCCTGGCTTTTCTGGGTGGGACTCCAGGAACAACCCCCCCATCACGGTGACATTCATCTCACCTGCCTTGGTCAGGGCCATTGCAAACGTGTCTCTCTGGCACGTCACTCTCCTCTGCCTTTCTTGTCTGTCTTTCCTTACAACTGGGAAAGCAGCCCCGTGTGGGGAGCACCTCCCCTGTGCAGGCAGAGGGGTTCTGCAAGCACGAGAGCCATTGCCCTCTAGCAGGAGGCCTTGTTCCCTTTACACAGCACAGAGCACATTTAGGAAATATAAATATACTCATGCCCCTAATTGTTTCCACACCGAACTTCTTTAAGCAGCTAACAGAGAGTGATCTTCCCTCCTCACGGCAATCCTGCCAGGAGAGAGCAGATAAGAAGGACCTTAGCCTTCCATGGAGAAAGGGGAGTGGGATAATCTGAAATCACCAGCGGTGTTTCCCCCACTGTGAGTGGGGAATGTCCCCAACCTTCAGAAAATCTCTGCCTGTGGCGGTCAATGTTACCGGAAGAGAACCGAAAGGCATTCTGGGACTTGTAGTGCCCAGGTGCTCTATTGCGCATGCTCAATGGAGCGCTCGAATGTGATTGGTTGAGAAGGTCACATGTTATGACGCTCACGGTTGGCACCGCATATATAAGCCCTTGTTGTTCTCAATAAATTTGATTCGATTATGGAAAAAAGGGCTGACTACTCAGGAAGAATTTAGGAATATAGTTAGGTCATGTAGAAAGAAAATTAGAGAGATGAAGGCGCAACTTGAACTGAATCTCACCACCTCTGAAGGATAACAAAAAGTCCTTCTGCAGATACATCAACAGCAAAAGGAGGGGCAAGGAAAACCTCCATTCTTTACTGGACATGGGCGGGAATCTGGTTATCAAAGATGAGGAAAAGGCTGAGGTATTTAACACCTTCCTTGTCTCCGTTTTCAACAGTAAGACAGGTTGTCCTGAGGACAGCTGGCTTCTGGAGCTTGTAGAAAGAGATAAGAATCTGAACAGCCCCCCTGTAATCCAGAAGGAAACAGTCAGTGACCTACTGAGCTGCTTGGATCCCCACAAGTCTGTGGGACCAGATGGGATGCACCCAAGGGTGATGAGGGAGCTGGCAGAAGAGCTCACCAAGCCTCTCTCCATCATCTACCAACAACTCTGGCTCACTGGGGAGGTCCCAGATGATTGGAAGTTGGCCAATGTCACACCAATCCACAAAAAGGGCCTGAAGGAGGACCCGGGAAACTCCAGGCCCATCAGCCTGAGCTCAGTGCCTGTCAAGGTTCTGGAGCAGATCATCCTCAGTGCAGTCCCACAGCACCTCCAGGATGGACAAGGGATCAGACCCAGCCAGCACGGGTTTAGGAGGGGCAGGTCCTGTCTGACCAACCTGATCTCCTTTTATGATCAGGTGACCCGCCTGGTGGGTGAGGGGAAGGCTGTGGATGTGTCTGTCTGGACTTTAGCAAAGCCTTGGACACCGTCTCCCAGGGCACACTCCTGGAAAAGGCTTGGACAGGGGCACCCTGTGCTGGGTTAGGAACTGGCTGGAGGGCTGGGCCCAGAGAGTGCTGGGGATGGAGCTGCATCCATTTGGGATCC